TGGAAGATTCGTCTAGCATTTATCTAGTAGCGTGGAAGTACTCCACGCTGGCTAAATATCTAGAGCGTTGTTTCATCATCAACCTAGTATGACTAGAGCGGTCATTGAGAACCCTGTCTCCAATGACTATTCGCGAAGGACTACGTCATGAGTCGAACTCAGACCCTATCTAGGATCGAGTCGCGAATAAGGCTAAGAGCCGTGTATTGCACCAGGAAAGCGATAACGGTGACAGCGATTCTTAAAAGTACTGTTGTAGCCCTTAATTTCTAGTAGGCCAGACAATTGCTCTACATCTCCACAATATGTCAAAGTGTTCCACCAGTAGCGATCGAAATTCTCTGTACAACAGAGAGTTTATGTACACTGCACCATCTTCGTCGACAGTCTCACCAAACCCATCTGATGTGATACTCAAGTTGTCATCATTATCACCTGCAGCAGAGTCATCTTCCTGTGATACTTCCGGCACCAGGAGACCTGGTCGTGCCATACTCCTCTCATGCTCTCCTCTGCTACCAAATTGAGCGATCTCTGGCTGTTGCAACCTCTGAACAGCGAATGGGGCATACTCGGCAAACCCCTCAGCTTCGTTGTCACCTAATTCTCCTTCCCAATCACTTTGCACTCCATTCTGCCATTCAGATGATAGCCCATCAATGTCAAGAAGCCAATTGTGTAGTGCGCAGCAGGTGAGCCAAGTATTGTCAGCTGCTTCGGTACCTTCCAATCTAATGTCAGCCTTGAGAATTCGAAATCGCCCTTTGAGGATACCGAAGGTACATTTTGCATCTTTTTGAAAAGACTCAATGAATTCCGAAAGGCGACGTTCAGGAAGAGTCAAGTCTGCTTTGCCTGGTGCTTGAGTGCACGACCATTGGTGGTACCCATTCTTGTCCACAAGTCCCCAAGAGCCACAATACCGTGATTCTTTTACAGGACCGCCAATCTGATTGCACCACGACAACAGGGTAAATTTCGCATCTTGTAAGATGTCACCTTTCCTCAAGCTGTACAGAAACTCGTCGTGGTAAGCCAAGATCTTGTCATTCCACCGAGAGGGGTGACCTTTCGTAGTATGTAGGATTTGTTGCCTGTGATTACAGGTCAGATTGTATGATCGTGCAGGATAACTCTGTTTAAAACCTGTATTTGCTTGTTTCAAGTTGTGGGTGCAGCGCCACATAATGACATTTGTTGCGTCACTTGACCATCCAGCACCATGCAGTCCACCCATATTGAATTCATGTTGATGTGTCCGGTATTGCTCTGCGTTAACAGGATGGGCAACGTATTCCTGGAAGAGATCGCTTGATCCAAATTGGATGAAAACATGGAAGAACTGCCGATGTATCTCCTCATTTATTGCTGTAAAATCCTCGAGATCATCAAATGTCAAGCCTCTGCCAAGATAACGAAGAGCTCCCAGTACCATAAGCTGAATTGGGAAACTTTCCTGCCACATTGCGTCTTTTCTGTACCATCGCCGGAACTTCGCATAGACAGATGTCTTGGCAACTAATTCCAAGAACGCCGAATGTGGAAGTCGAAATCTTCTCCGGAACCGTCGAAGGAAAATGTGATCTTCTTTGGGTGGATTTCGTACATAGAGCAGATACCAAACTGTCTCCTTTGGAGTCAAGCAAACCACAGTACCGCCATCATCAAGGTAGTATGGCCGATGTGATTTCGTAGAGCGGCGTTTTCTACTTTTCTTTGTTCAAGTACTTCCAGTTGTTACAGAGGAGGTTTGGTGCTGCTGTTTTCTTTGCATGGCAGATTCCAGTGATGCAAGAGCTTCCCCTATTCCATCTTCGCTCTCTCCTACTTCTCGCAGCTTCTCTAGATCAAGAATGCCATTGGCATCTAGACAATCAACCATGGGACTTGCTTTGCTACTCTCTTCTAGGAGTGCGAGTGAATATAGCATCATGGCAGTGTCAACACTCTCTTTATTATTATTGCTATATCTAGTTTCATGTTGCATGTTGCATTCTTTCCAGGGTGGTAGCAGTGCCTTGTTTGGGATTTCCCAACATTGATCCTTGCCGTTGTCTATTGGTTTGGGTGTTGTGTGGGCCAAGATGCGTGAAAGCCAACTCCACGCAACAGACCCTCCTGTTCGGTGATGAATTTGGCAACACGCATCTCTGAGTCACACTCGCGAATGAATGCTGGATTCTGATTGGTTCGCGGTGATGCCTGATAGGTGATTCTTCAACAAGAGATCCGTGCTATGTACTACCAGGTATGTACAAATGGTTTCGAGCAAGAGATGGAAGTTTCAATGCTTGCTTGAGCTGCAGTCGCATAAGAAAAGCAGACATCAAAACATTTGAATGCACATCTGGAGTATGTCACAGCTGATCCCGATGCACACTCAGAAGGGATTATTGCTACCGGTATGGAAGGTCAAGTTGCATAGATGTGCATCAGATTTGACCTCTTGACACTGCCACATGGCTGGGTCTTTCGACGAAGGCATTGCCAAAATGCCTTCATTGTGCACTTGAGTGGCAGCACCCATTGCTGGTGGAACAAAGCTTGCCCTACCAATGTTGGCGAGGTTTACTCTCAACATGCTTTGCCATGCTTGACAATATTCAAGAGAGCCGTTGGCTGATATTATAAATAAATAAAAAACTGGGCTAATCTATGGACACATCAGTACTGGTAGCTGGTGTTTGGATTTGATGTCACTGACGGGTCCTCTTTTAGTTCAGAAAGAGATTCATTCAGGTATGAACTCATTTCATGAGGACATTGGAGGTAGGATGTGAACAGGATGAATATCCAGCTTTGGTCAAGATATTTCCATGTGGATATCAGCGAAGTTAGAAAACCCACACATTGCAAAAGCATTTAATAAAGACCTGTTTTAGCGCCACCCATGTCGCACCTCTAAGGAGCGCAAGCTTCAATCAAAACATCAACACCTCGAATGTCTGCAGGTGCCAACGCTGTTTGACCAAAGCCTTTCTGGGCGGATCATAAGCCAAGTGAGCAACGCGAACAGCAAACAACATGTTTCAGAAGTTCCGATTCATTGTCCAAGGGCTTTCCAGTTGGAATGTTAGCCCTGTATACAGACAATCAAATGTCCAAGTTGTATTCAGCTTCTATCCAGACATCTTTGATTGTATGCAAGCTCAGACGTAGAAATGATACAATTCTTTCAGGGAACGTTCAGCTCGAACCAGGGCATCTCTGAACTCTGGAGTTTTGGATGTGACAGATCGAACTGAAACGTTTAACAAAGCTACAAGTGCAACCCAGATTTCTTCGATTGGGGATCCAAACTTTCTGATGACCTTACTCTGGATGACAAAAATCTCTGCATCCTGCCCAAAAGCAGATACCGGTACGGACCTCTGCTTGGCAAATGATCTTCTTGGCAAGACCTCAGTTTGGCTTTCTAAGGGACTAGGAACAAAATGAGGCTCTAGCTGGATTGACTAGATGGTTATTGCATGGCTCAAACTCATCTATGCGTAGGAATGTCCTTGAATGATGCACTGGTATGTCACCGGACCCCGCGCTGTACCGGTATGATTGAATCATCCAATCCGTTCCAACGTGTGCATACCGGTACAATTGAACCTCGATTAGCTAGAGATATTTTACAAGGGGAAGGTTTGGTCCACAACTTACATTTTCCCAAGACGGAACCGGTACCGGTACCGGGACAGTGAGGGTACCTCTAGAATGTTTCTGCTGCAGGAGAAGTATTTGAAGGCTATCGGGCGCCACCATTAGAAACGCAATGCAATTGTGGTTCTACGTTTCACCATTTCGATGTCTGCAAGGGCAGGTTTTAAGGGGAATGATTGAATCTAACGTTCGTGCACTAGAGATATTGACGCTACTACAGTTCGTGTAATAAAGATATCGATGCGATTAGGTACCGGTAGGCACAAACGGAAGAACGGTACTGCTTGTTACAACAACTAGCAAGACGAGCAATCCACGAGCGAGCACCATAGGAACAATAACAAAGGGGGGCCACACTCTATACAGTGGATTCCAAAACGATCATCCATTCACGCTCCGTAGCGGATTTCCCTTTCCTCAATAGCCCGCGGCTCAGTGTCAGCCGACGGGCAAAATACATCTTGGTCAGCAGTGCTATAGCCATCATACACAGTCACGAGTCGAGTCCTCATAGATGGATAATATGCAGTTGCGGCTCTCGACGCAGCAGCCAAGATTTGCGTCGCTCCAACACCCTCCCTCTATCGATAGTTGACTCGCTGGTACTTGGCGGCACGGTAGAGGCGGGTGCGTTTTGTCGGTTGTGACTGCGTTGCGGTGCTTGCAGCCTTCTTTTTGCCTCGTGATCTCTGCGGAGAGGAGGAATCCACCGAATAGCAACAAAGCGACGGGTTCATGCTCAAGAGGTAATGTAGATTGCTGATATCGGATCCCATCTTGGCCAGCATGCGGGTCCATCGCGCGTCTCGATGAACCGTCGTATCCGTCAAGAGTTCTCCTCTCCCTAGTTTATTCAGTTCCATCAGGAACTTCATTTCTTCATCCAACGCCTTGTTTGCGTGATCGTCACCGACACGAAGGCTCACCTTCTCAATGACGTAGTTGGATTTGACGGCGTCCCGAAAATGGGTCAAGCTCTGTGTGCTCATCTCTCCCATGCCCCCTTGGAAGAGGAATTCCTTGAGACTTGTCGAATCCGCGAGACCCTCTGCAATCTCTGCCTCTATTTGGTGTTGGATACTGTGGTTATTGTTGGGGTTGCCGTCCGCCTGATCAAACCCCGTGACAATCATAATGACTTCATTCAACGTTTGATTGCGTCGGAACAAGCGCGTAAACGCTTGACTCCCGGTGATTCCAAGAGAGCAATTGATACACAATTCTCTGAGCACATTGTTGTGTTCGAGTGAAGACGCCATGGCTGCCAAGTTGTCGTTGGATAGAACAAATAGGAACAAGTAGAGAGAAGAGAGTTTCGGAAGTAGACACAAATCTCGAAGTCCAGCACTCTCCAGTGCACCGAGCGAGTCTTCCATGGGATTGCAGGATCCTTTGATGATGATATCAGTCACATTGGATAGTTTGGCTAGCCCCTTGATTAATGGATCCAATGGATTTGCTGTTCCTCCTGTATCTTGATTCACCTTGTCATCGACATTGATGGTCAGCCCGATGCACTGGAGCATGACAAGTCGCCCAAAAGCATTCCCGAGGCCGGCAAAATCGTCGCGATTTCCTGCCAGTTTCAAGTCGAAAATGAGATATTCTAGCTTGAGGGTGCTCCGGAGCAATAAAGAGAGAGCCTTGACGGGGAAGGAAAACTGTGGCATAACGGCACCTTCTTCGACGCGGCATTCCGGACGCCAGACTTTGATGCCCAGCAAATGGGGCAGATGGACTTCGGAAAATAACTGTTCTATGGCTTCCGGACCGTACTTTTGCATAAACGAGGCATAGAGGTTGACGTAAAGAACCACGCAATCGGGATCTTTCAACGAAGAAGAAATGGAAGCTAAATCGGAGCCTTCGTCAAAATGCAGCGTGATTTTCTTGGCGTTCACTGCCACGGGTGTCGACGCTGTCACAGCGTCCGATTGATCCTCTGAAAGATACATTTCTCTGTCATTCTCTTCTTCGCTCATCTTGCTCTGACTTTACTACGGTATTAGATAGATAGATACTGGAAGATAGCAAATGTGCGGATCTGTAAGCTCAGGTTTCCCATTGTGTCAATGAGATCGTCACAGTTCTGAAGCTGAATGCTCCGGCCGTTGTTGCTGGTGGGTGTAAAGCCAACGCAATAAGCCAGCGAACCAATCTATTCCTCCCTCCAAGCCGTGGGAATACTCAAATATTATCATACGATTTTAGCAAAAAGTGACTGAATTAAGTAGTTTTACTCTTGATCAGCACAAACTGCCGAATCGCCAAAACACAGGCTTTACTCTGTGGTAACTTTTCGGTTGTTTGACTTTTTCA